AGAGAACGAGGAAGTGAGAGAGAGGCATGTTTCCTCATAACCCGTTTCCTAATATTCCTTTAATTTCCTGTTTTCCACAGCCTACTTCGCGCGGCTTTCTGCTATATTTTTACTGACGCGATTAAAACGGCGTTTCTCTCCATCCACAATGTTCTGCGAATGCCGCGACAGCCGGACGTGTCTCACTTTCTTCCCAACTTTTTTTTTTCTTTTTTGTCGTTTTCGAGTAGCCGGACCGCGATAAGAGTTCTCGCGTGAGACGTGCGCCGCTTCGTGCGGGAAGTCGATTAAATGCTATCTATTTGCATGGTAATGCATAATAATTAGAGGCTAAACTAGGACGCGACAGATTGGTACAAGCAGCTAAGCTGCTTGTCTATCGCCGAGCATCAACTGCAGTATGCAACCGCAATCCTTCGTAATGTCGGCGCGCGCGCGCGCCACGTCTTGCAGATGTTCCCTCCGCATCTCGTATAAGAGGTGTAAATATGCGCCAGCCGCGAATTCCATCTTGTACCTCCGGCTGCGGATTTTCCACGAATAACCGCTGATCACGATCGACCAATCTGTTGCGATATTAAATTTCCCGTTTTACTTTTTACCGTATTACGCCTTAACTTATGATCGCCAACCAGTCCGTCGTAACTAGTTCGTTGTTTAATAAAGACGCTCTATATATTTTTGCGTAAGAAGTATAAATACCTACTACCTAAGTATAAATACCTACGTTTGTATAACCAAATGCCTTTACTTATAATAATCCCTTGTTAAAGAGCGTTAAAATAAAATATCTTATAAAGTATCTTATAAAACTAAATAGGGATTAAAACTCGTAATATTGCGATATTGTAATTGGTATTTTCTGTGTTAAGCAATTCGTTTGTACAGTTACAGTTTCCAAGATTCAACATTTTTATCCTCTTTGCGAAGATATATCCAGAGAAAAATTGTATCGTCTTAACTCCGACCAAGATGCCGCAGCACGTCACCAAATAGAAACTTTTATGTGATTGCAATTTTGAGATGAAAGATGCTCAATAGTAGAATTACATTCTTTTGCAAAAAGCTATTGGAAATTAGTAGATAAAAATGGCTTAACAAAAATAATAAAATAAATAATCACAATTATAAAATTAAAGCAATATGCTTGTAAATTTAAAATTTAATTGTGCATAAGGGACTTGAAGTATGACTATAATAAAAATTAATATCGCCGGACAATAAATGACGTCAAACATTTGTTTTGTAGATAATATCGATCTGACAACTCAATTGGGACCTGAGTTAATCAAATTACTGTTATCGACCATGTTTAAAATAAACAGTTAGAAAGTAATTTTGGATACATCACGGCAGAAATGCGTCGCAAAAATCGAGCTCACAAATGGCGTCGGATCAGAATGCTACATCCCGACATCAAGGGTGAAAGTACGTAATATCGGCAATAAGGTTAACAAATTAATTATTATTACCATTTATTAATTAATTAAAATTATTTATTGTTATAAAGCTTGAGAAGCAGAAAATTTATGCTCTCGAAAATTTCTCGAGAAAAGAGCGCGCGCGCCGCTTCAATTTCCCGTCGCCGGCCGCGCGATAATTATTCCCTGACAGAAGATAATTTAACGCGCGTTATTAAATGCGTTGCGACGCTACGCGGAGAGCCTTGCTCTCGCGTTTATTCCATCTCGGGCGCGCGATTCACTTTCCAAGTTACGAAAATCCATTACAATCTTCTCGCCCGCGTCTCGTATCATACAATATACGGGGGTGTCCCGGCTTCAAAGAACGCACACCCCCGTCTCTGTTTCTCTCTCTCTCTCTCTCTCTCTCTCTCTCTCT